CAGCCTTCACGAGCACAAAAATCTTCATTAGACTTGGCAATGAAGTTTTGCAGTGGTACCTCTTCTCATGATCTTTCTTGTTATAGGAGCAAATCCCATGGGAGTAAACGGAGCAGTGGGTGGTCAGTCTCAGAATCCGCAATCTAACCTTCTCCAGGAAACGATGTTGCATCTGAATATGAACTCTCAGAGGTAAACAAACCCTTGGGTTCATCGTGCGTAACTAGTCGCCATTCACTTCTCTGGATTCAGTTGGTCTTAAAATCTCACAGTAACACTAATCCACAGCAGCAGGTGTCTGTCAGCTTTGACAAGTTCATATATAAACATAGAGTGGTCCTCATTTGTTTTCGCTCCCCTTTCCCCAGTCTGATGAATGACAATGCTGTGGGCGGTGTGGGGTCTATGCCTGTGGCCAACCCAGCTGCCAGTGCTGGCATGAGCAAGAACTGGCACGAGGACATCACCCAGGATCTACGCAACCACCTGGTGCACAAACTGTAAGTTGTACACTGCTATGTGAAAATTATGCCTGAAGAAGTTACATCAATATTTTTTTAAATAGTTGCATTTTGTAGTGGAAGAACATTATCTTAAGTTATAATCTTCAGATATTGAAATGAAAAATCTTATATAATGTTTTTTATATTGATGTGAGTTGGTTGTCAATTGTTGTTTTTAGGGATGTAACTATTCACTCAACTCACGATTCGATTCACGATTTTGATTTCATGATTCGATTTCGATTCACAATTGTATTTTTTTTACAAAATGAGTTTCAAGACAAATTATAAACTAAACGTGTCCTTTTATTATTGCTTGGACAACATGCTGCACATTTCTTTGTGAAATTGAAATATAACACTATAATAATATACTAATATAGCACTTATTTTGTTGGTTTTGATTGCTTTTATTGTCCTCATTTGTAAGTCGCTTTGGATAAAAGCGTCTGCTAAATAATCACCTAATTGCTCAAATGTGCTCAAGATTCCAAAAAAATCGCTGTTATTATATTAACAAACTGTAATTAGATGATTAGATCTCAATGTTCCAGGAGCTCAAACAGAAAAGCATGCATTTAGCAACATCAAGGTCATGGGTTCGATTCCCAGGGAATAAACTTTTCTAAAGACAGTAAGTTCCCCTCAGACATGGATTCTTATAAACTCCTACCCCTAATTGAATCGCGATTTGTTTAGCATCTCAACCGTTTTGAATCGTCACATATTTAAATCGATTTTCAACCGGCTCGCGGTTAATCGTTACATCCCTAGTTGTTTTTCATTACTAGAGTGTTATTGCTATTTATTTCTTTTAAAATACATTAATCTTGCCATGAAAATAGCCATAGATGCTGGTATGGCAGTAAAAATAAATAAATAAATCATAGTGGAAGAACAAGTACTTCAATTGCTTCATAATAATAATAATGACCAATAAATAACCAGTGAAAACAAAGGCTTCTGATATTCATTTAATATTCATTTCCATGCCCCTTGCTGCTGTTCTATTTCTTCAGAGTCCAGGCCATTTTTCCCACTCCAGACCCAGCTGCACTGAAGGACCGGCGGATGGAGAATCTAGTGGCCTATGCGCGTAAAGTTGAGGGGGATATGTATGAGTCCGCTAACAGCAGGGTGTGTATATTGTCTTTGTTGGCTGTTAATGATTTGTGTTTATTGTTGTAATCACTGATTTATGTCACTATTTATACATCACACTTTCAGGCGGAGTATTATCACCTGCTGGCGGAGAAGATTTATAAGATCCAGAAGGAACTGGAAGAGAAGCGAAAGACACGGTTACAGAAGCAGGGCATGATGCCTACTCAGCCTGGTATGCCCCCCACTGGCCTGCAGCAAGGCCCCACTGGGATTGGTCAGACAGGGCCACCCACAGGACTGCCTCCTAGTGAGTACTCATCCACCAAAACTGTCTCTCCTTGCGACCAGTTAGCTGGTAAATTGTAACTAAAGGCCTACTGGCTCTTAAAAAAGGGACAAGCCTCTAAATGTGTCCTACCCAAACTATGCCAACAGAACAGAAACCTGCTCTTGCCAAGCAGTTTCATAAGGTCTTTTCATTTTCTTGTTTTGTCCCTCAACCTGTAGATGGCCCTCTCTCTGATCCTTCAGTGGTGCGGCCTACTGGTCCAAACCAGATGATGAACAGGATGCAGAATGCTGCTGGTCTGTATCGCTCTCTCTCTCTCTCTCTCACTCACACACACACACACACACACACACGTCTGGTTAGCTATACGTGTAGGGACTCCATAGGCATAATGGTTTTTATACTGTACAAACCGTATTTT